AAAAAAAAAAAGGAAACCAGAGAAACGAGTACAGAGCAATTTTACATTCCTACGTACATAGTAAAGGTGTCCTTGTCTACTATTTTATATTAAATTAACATTTATATGAAAGCACAATTTATTTAAAACAATGGATCCATCAGCGATTAAAGTTACGTGTTTTCGTTAATTGCAGCTAATATTTGACTGCCACTGCAGACTTATAAGGGTTCTTTTTAGCCCAAGGGATGGACATGGTACAGTTCCAAGACCAAACAGGCAGTTAACGCCCGATTTCTCGAAGGAATTGCCACTTGCAAATGATTTGAGCAAAATGCTGTCCCTAATTGGATTAAGATGTGCGTTTGTTTGTAGATGATGTATTTTTGCTACAGATTATATGGTTACATCCCACAAGAATAGCAAAATTGCTACATTGTAGGTCTAGGCTCCATATCAGTCGATATACGGAGCCTATACATACAGTCAGGAACGACATTCTATGTTGTTATCATTATTATTTATGTCATTACCTTCTGAGTGACCTAATTTACTCCCCGTCACTGAAGTTATACTTACTAGATAAATGAAAATCGGAATGCGGTTTTAAGGACGCCTGTCTCGTACATTTCCTGCTATCTAAAAACTAAGATTGCGATTTATGTATCTTATGATTCAGCCTTCATCTTCTCTATAGCAATGGAACAGTGGCCCAAAATTTGCTGTCGTTTTATCGAACAAAAGAGAGATTAAATACAGTCGTGCGCACTTCTTTAATGTTCAAGGATTAGATCCTAAGTGATCAGAAATGTAGATTCAAAAATTGTTTTTTCCTACGATATGTGAAATGCTGGAAAAGACTACACCGTCATCTCATTTTAAATGGGTTCCAAGTTTACCCATTTAAGAAAAAAAATTTGAGCTAAAATGTTCAGATGCATATAACTTAAGCTCAAGCTAAATATTCTCTTCCTACCGTGAGCTTGCGGGCAAAATGGACGTAGGCTTTCGTCAGACTAACATAAGTTGTTATTCCACTGGTGGCAGGAAGAAAATTTTCAGGTTGTGCTTGATAATTATCATCAATGAAAAAAAATCTCATTTTAATTTTCTCTTGCTACATGCGTATATAACTGCGTATCCAGCCTCCTTATTCGAATGTTTTGTTCTATGGGACTTACTAACTTAGTTACACTGGGGTTGTGCGCTAGCCTTCAGCGTGAAATTTATTCGCTTTCCATGACAATATCATCCATATCCGAGTACAAAGGGATGCCTTTGGTATGCATACTTTAGTATGAATTTCGCCTTCCTTGCGACACAAAAATCTGAAATACAATATTAAAAGGCCAGTGAACTTTATATAGTAAACCCCCCCCTACCCAGGAAAAAAAAAAATACAGAATAATACATAAAGACGTGATGTGACAGCTTCTTCCGACTTCCCCTTGGTGTTATGACTAGAATCAAAAGAAGAACCAGTTCAAGTTAATCTCCTAAGCCATGAGAAAGCTTTTCATCCTCACTAGGTTCAGTAGAATATAATTTATTTGCTGATTAATGCATTTTCCGCATCTCCGGGCGTGTGCGGCAACCTAGACAAGTGTTGTTGCGTGGAGTCTCGGCTAGGAGAAGGGCCTGATGCTACTTTTATCCTTATACTAAGCAGTATAAATGAAATGGTTTCCTGGATCGGATTTTCTTCCTCTCTTATTCCGCGAAAAAAAAGTACAGTTAATTGCTTTCCTACAGTGAAACGGATGTATTGAAAGAATATCACTTTAAGTCCGTAACAAGGTACCCTCTACCAGGGCCACAGTTATTATTATTATTATTATTTTTATTATTATTTGGACGTTTTCGCTGTGCAGAGGATAATTGTTAATTTAACCAGAGGCATATCTGTTAATATCTAGTGAAAAATTAATCTTCGGACCTGGTAGAGGGTAGTAACATGGTCAAGCAATCAACTTTCCTAACGACTGCAATCCAAATTCGAATACAAGGGGTTCGAGCCCATAGAGCCCCCCCCCCCCCCACACACACACACACACACACATACACACACATTGATTTCTTGGAACCATCAGTGCAATCAAATAACGACTGGACACGCATCGTAATGTGTTTGCTTACGTGACTTTACTTACATGTTACAAAAGAGTAGGTTGTAGAGGCTCATTCTCAATGAAACTATGAGCTTACGTAGATCTATCCAATTCGCTGAATGCAATCATATTAGCAGATTAATATACCTCCTCCCGGCGTTGGGTAGAATACATAAAGTTGGTGATTATACGGGTACGTTGGAAACAAGAGGAGGCGTGTTAATCTGATTGCATTAAGCGAAAGTTGGATCGTTCTACGTAGCACGATAACTTTATTGGGAATGAGCCCTAGAACTACATGGATGGTTACTAGGCTCTGATTTACACAAACGCAAAAATGTTTTGTGAAAATTTTGTACTTTCTTCAAAACGGAAGTTCTAAGTCTTTCTTCATCAAGGTTAAGTCATTGAAAAGCCACTAAAAAGTAGCAACTTTCGGTCAAATTTTTTGCTAATTTTTCAACAGGTCCAACATCCTCATCTAAATGGACTAGCACTTTTTTCTGGGTCGAAGTACAGTACCTTTCTTGTGTTAAAATTAAGACCCACTTTCAACCCAATTCCATTTGTGAAACGGGGCCCTGTTGTTAAAGGAAGCATGTAACATCGGCTGTAACATACGAAAATACTTAAGTTACGACCTCACTGTGGTCTTGTACACCCAAAAAGTACTATTTCTAAACAAAAGTGTATGAAATTGAGTTGAATCGGGTGTTTTTTATAGAAATGTCAACGTTTGCACATGTTTTGCAACAAAGTCTACGAAACTGTTTGATTTTGCAACTGTAAATTTTTCCAAAGAATTTGGCATATGTATCGCAAGTGAAGGCTCCCAACTCATTTTGAAACATCACTTTCGAGTTCCCATACCGACAACCTGAAATGTCATAAATTGAATATTGTAATAAGTGAAAAATGCCTGTTAATTGTATCTATGATAAAAATAAAATATCCAGTTAATTCTATCTATACTTAAAGCCCGTTTTAAAATCAAAATGAATAATGAATCTATCCACAGGGTAAGAACAAGTAAGAATTTTTTAACATCTTAAATAAAAAGGGCCGTAAATGTACCTCATCTACTGGCAAATTATCAAGTTTTTCGACTGCCTTATATTAAATGTTTTGACTTCAAATGACTTGTGTATAATTTAAACCGTCTTGAATCGTACCGGGAATGTTCACTTCGTACTTAGAGCAGGTTTTACAACAAATGTTTCTGTTGTAAACGGTGTAGCATAGGTTGCTGTTTTGGTCGATAGGAGCACACGTCCCGGCACGGTCTCCGTATAAACAGTCTGAAAACGGGAAAAACAATTTGGACTTAAAACCCTTGAAAACTATGCCTGAATATGAGACGAAGTCGCTGTACAATTGACCTTTTTGGTTAGTACAGGCCATTCATACGTTTATTTTTCAGTTTTTTTTCTTTATCTTAAAGAGAAGTTAAACAATGCTTCGGTTCTAGTAAGAGAGCCTGTTCCGAAATTCAGTAAAATCACATTGTTAGAGTCAAGCGCAAGTTATATCTTTATTGGTGTTTCAAGATAAAGAAAAAACATGTCGTATTTGCAAATATCAATGTCTGTATCTCTACCTTTTCCTGCTCCGAGTCGTCGCTTGTAATCATTGCAAGTTGCGCAGCAATAATGGCGATAGATAGCTCTGTAGCATTGTCGGTTTGAGATTTTACGACAGAGAGGCGAACGATCACCGTATTCGCAACCTATATAAAAAAAAAAAGAAAATAAACACCCCACCTCTTCAGTGAAATTAATTGCTCCAGTTCTTATTGCACCACATTATAACAATCCTCGTGTAAGACCAACTTAAATCGTTGACCCCACGTAAAAAATAAGCCTCATTTAACACCAGGTCAAACAGGCTTCCTTTTAAGTTTTCAGGGATCGCAAGTGATTTAGTGTGATTTAGTCTTTAGTAAAATCAAGACAATGTTGCTATAGGTATCCATTGATTTGGAAGCATTTCTGATATGCAGGTTGGATTTCTGAGCTAAAAGACAAAACGATCACACACTTATGACATCTAGGTTCCATCATAACTAGAATGGAGACCACCAGCAGGTATCAAATTTCCCCATAAGTAGCACGGGGATCAAGTGAAAAGGGTTCTTCGGTAATTTTCAGTCAAAATGGAGAAATTAACATGCGATAAATGGCTTAGTAATAGAATGTCTTCTTGATTTTAGCCTTACCCGGAACAGTCTTGGGTGTCATAAGCCTTTGACAAGCTTGACAACACTTCTTGCGATTTAGCCTATGATAACACATGCCAGTTGTAATGGACTGACAGGCCTCGGTGTTGTCTCGACACTTAGCTTCAGGCGGATCTGGATGGGCTGGACTTTTTTCAACTGCATTGTTCTTACCATGGAATGCTGAAGTGAATGCATAGTTATCTATGTCGAACAATGAATTGATGAAAATTTTAGAATGAATAAACGTAATGAGAAAAACTCGGCTTAAAAAACAGTACATTTCTTCTCGAGATTATCAATATAAAAGAATTTTGCCTACGAAAGGATCATCTCAAAAAGTAGCACAATGTTAGGATATAACATTATGAAAAGAGTGGAACTAGGTGTGAGTAACACTTTCGTAAATGAACTAGAACTGTTAATTCTAGGCCACAAAGGGCACTATTAAGAAAAAAAAATGAAACAGAAGATCAACCAAAATCGGTTTGATTTTTTTTTCAGATGAATGTCAACAATTTAGCCATATACAGACGAATTATTTCAGAAACCTTAAATGTAAAGTTGGTGATACAAGGCTGCAGTTCCCATCCCGGCTACCTCTATCCCTTAACCCTTTAGTGTTAAGCTTGCATGGATATAACTAAGCAAGGCTTTGAAGACAAAATATCTATCCTTTCTTAATTCTATTAACCAAAGCGGTGGTGACGCACAAATACATGTATGGGAGCTGTTTGGAGTGCTGTCACTGGCTTAACCTACACTAATTTGATTAAAAAATGGAAAGACGCAGCCTCATACGTGGATTTAGTCTGATCGACGCATTACAATTGGAATATTTCATTTTGAGACCTTCGGGGTTTGTAAGTTCCATTACCCGTCCTTAAAAAATCAAGCCGGATGTGATGCAAACAGTCTGCCGAAAAACTGGTCAAAATACAGTACCTATTCCTCTCCACCACCCCCACCACCCTCTTTGAAAGAGTACGACTTATACCGGAGATTGACATATGTCTCATCGATTTTGTTCTTTTCGTTTTAAATGTTTATAGTATTTTCGTTAATGGTTTGCAACTGATTTAAAGACATGAGTTTTAAGTGTTTTTAGATCCATTTACAAATTAAGGAGACATTCTCAAGATTTCGTCATAGAAAAAGTCCCAAATTTTTTAGCAGAAGAGACAATTGAAGCAATTCTTTGTCATTTTCTGTTTTAAAATAAGAACGAGGCGGTGGTTTGGGCCGGTACTCAAAGACTTTTATTTGCAACTACACTGCAAACTTTTAAGATGGTATATATCTGATTCTCTATACACAACTTTTAAAAAGAAGTCCTTTGTCTTATGGCCCATTTTCCTGCTTTTCCTAAGACTGAATTTTTCCCCTCAACATTATAACTGCTAAAATGTATTTAGAAACACTCCGCCTTTATTGCTTTTGGCAATTTTCAAAACTACGACGCATGTGGTAGTCTGGCAATAATCAGCATTCCGTGGATCCATTGTTGTATAAGGGGGTTATGGGACTGGAGTGAGAGAGTAAGACAGAGATAGAGATGGATAGCTCTATGTAGTCTGTAGTTTTGCGGAGTAAGTATTTGATATGGACGTAAGCCTACAGACACGGCCAACTGTATTAGGCCGTTCGACATTATCGTCCCTTTAACCATCGCACAACTTAGAGAAATTATTTCCAAATAATATTTTCTTGAAGCACATTAATCTGGAAAATATATACCTGAGGCTTAAGTGTACAGTTCTTATTTTGACAGCAACTCAAGCGCATTGCTTTTTAAAACCACATTAAGTTAAATGATTGGTGTATAACGATATTTCCGTAGGTGGATTTAACAAATAATTTAGAAAGTGCATGAGTTAACGCCAATTTCAATCACAGATCCTTCTTTTCTATATAATGAGAATGCACATCAGCAAAAGCATAAGCAAATCTCATCAAGTTGGTCGTCATATCGTACAGATTCCTTTTCCATTTACGTACCTACAGTTGTCGTTCTTGCTTCAATGCATTATAACGTTATAAGTCAACCTTTCTTGCACTCAGGGGCAAAAAGAGTTGGTATAAGAAAAAAATACGTTTGAGTGTTTCTCCTTTCAGGCCTGAGAACCATTACAGTCATTTTGAACCCCACAATTGGTGTAATCTATGATCCAGTTTGTTTAATGTGTCTAAGGATAAACGATCTGTTATTTTATTTCTGAGGACGAAGAAACGTAGTGATGGGATTTTGAGCTCATTACCGACATTTGCTGATAGAATGTGAAAGATAAATTACTCTCAAAACTGAATTCCCTTAATCAGCAAAAGCCAATTAATGTTAAAGTTCACTCTTTTCTCCAGAATAAGAGGCGTTCCATGTTGCATTCCGGACGATTAGAACATAAATCACTTGTTCCCTTTATAAAAAACTTTAAGTTGTTCAGCTGATCGAATTTGCATCAGTATCTGGTTACCAAATTATACTTAATACGACAATAGTCATTCTTTTTTTTACCGATCTACCTATTATATTAAAATATTTATTTGAACAAAAATTACAATGAATTAAATCAGTTAGGTNCATCCCATCGTACCGTAAGGGGTGGCAGAGGAGAAACGTTAGACTACCAGATTTTACACATTGCTCAGCGTCGTTGACAAAAGGCCCACCTCGATACAGCAACTATTTCTTTTTAATTCAACGTTCATAAACACTCCAAGTTTGACTGGTAAAGAAGACGTCCAGCAGAGAGCGGATTATCACATTAACACTCTAGCCACTCGTATGCATGCAGCGGCTGTTTGCACAGAAAGCAAACGCCACTGGAAAGTGTCAGATGAACGTATCTAGGCTTTTTTCTGTTGTTCGTTACCCTTAAAATATTACATAAATTAACTAGGTAACAACATTTCTTTCTCCGCGTGGAGCTTCGCAAATATTTTGATGCCTGCTGATAGACAAGAAAGCGCTGTGATTCAAGTTAGTTAACACAACTTTGAGACCTTAGTTTGGTATACTCATTGACCGCAAATTTACGGTTGTGCTGTTGAATATAGTTCACAACTAATTTTGAGAATTGGGCAAAAATTGTTATTCAGATAAGTAGGCCTAATTTTAATAGATAAATTCTTACCTGTTGCAGAATACAGCTATCTTTGAACATGCATCTCGGCAGTTTTTTTGCGTATGCTCCAATGTTTTCATACGGATAGAGGATAAAGCTGAGGTGACGACCGTATGAGGACCGTATGTAGATGGTGGATTCATGACATTTTGCATATATCCATGTGTTGACAGCAACTTGCCTAATTTGTCAATAATGTTCAAGTGGCGTTTTATACTTTAAGACAGAGTTAATGTACCTACTACATGTACATGTATTCAACTGTATGTATTTCATTGTTTTTGAATGAAATTATGAAATGATCAACAAATAAACTTCTTTCCCCTTATTCAGTGCACAGTCTTCCATTCTGCTTTGGCACTGCCGTCTCACCTAACACAATTTTGATGGTGCGTTTATCGCGATTCCTCTTATTCAACCTGCCATAAAATCACAACAACACTATTTATCTTATATAACATGTGTCCTTTTCTTTTGCATTTAATTTTTACATCACACATATCAAGTTTTAGCACAAAAAAGATAAATAACATAAAATAAAAAAAAGATAATTAAAAATAAATACACAAAAAAGAAAAATCACGTTTTACATGAACTATCTTTGATCATCACTGATATCAAATATCTGAAATATCTTTGTTATATGAAAACTGGCTGTATCAATTTCTTTATTTCGATTTGATAACAGGCTTCAACTGTGCACACAGACAAATTGGAGTTTCTGTGTTTTGTGGTCTTCGAATTGTGCAATTTTTACCCAATTTTCAGTCTAAAACTGCGTGCTCACGAGACTTGTATCTTTTTTTCTACGAATGTGCGATTGCGTTCAGCATCATAGATGGTCAACAAAAACAAAGTTCATTCTTTTAAAAAACTGGCACACACAGTATAGACAGGACATTTTAATGTTAATTAAAATGACTAACTAACAGAAATAACACTTAAGTCATCTTTATATGTTCCAAGTCACCCTCTGATATTCCAGTCATGGCATTTTTCTCTATAGTACAAACTCCAACAATTGCATTGATCTTTGTGGATGAAATTTACTAAAGATGGTCCTTCAGTTTGTTTATTTTACGATATTCTTACTGCCATCTCACAACGAAATTTATTACATTGGAATTGGTCGCACTGGACGTCGACGTCCTTGCGTAAACCAGTTCAGATTGCCTCAGGTATATTTATGATGCCGAGTTATGAGCTACAGTCAGGTCTTCTTTGCAATGGTTTGTGCCTTTTCGGCGGCTCTTGCCTTCCATCGCTTCACCATTTCTGCTTGCTTTTGTGTTAACTGCAGCCTATAAAGGAAAAGCAAAACAATGCACTCCACGAATGGTTTACTTGCAACCGTTAAAGGTCCAAATGTTGTTATCTGAAAAAGAAACCACGTGTGCGTGCTATGCATATAAAGAGTGATGTCTTGAAATAAATGAATGAAAAGTCTCACATCTACAAGGCTTTCTTCACATTCGTTTGTGTTGCAGATAACATCCGAGTCTTTTCCAATTCAGATGATTTAGCAAGCAGAATAAACAGCAATATATTGACTCGTGCATTATTCTGTGACCCCCAGTTGGACAGGATTTCTCATCAATTTTGAAAAGCACACTTCACGGGTTGTATTATTCTCAACGGAGATTACTTTCACAAGGCATAAATATTGGCTACACCTACTTTGTTATTCACAATTCAAGTATTCATCGCTTGCTTTTTATGAATAATTTAAAAAGGCACCAATCGATAATTCATTTGACATGAGAGTTGTTTTCGTCTATTAGCCTTATGGGGCTCACAGAATAAACAAGATATAATCGGACACAAATGATTTCAGGATATATTTCCACCTACGGGTCAATTCTCTTATTTATGAAATCCTTTATAAGTGTAAATAACATTAATGTAAGAAGAAAACTTTGGACTTACATTATTAATGATGATATACGTTTTGCTTTTTGTTATCGTTTTGTTTACTATTAGAATAAAAACCAAGGACACCTTGCCTTCGCGAGATGTTCTAATAGTGCACTGTCCACATACGCCACGACCGCATCTCGTTTAGCACAGGTTCGAATCTCATAGAGCACAGCATAATGCAAAGAAAAACACTACATTCAGTAAATCAACTGGGTCTAACAAAACCTCATCCTTACTTTCTTTGGCGTGCCTCCTGCCATCGTTTCTGAATATCCTGGATTCTGTCCCAAATTTCTTGTTCCCGCTGCATCTCCTCTTCCTCGTCATCAGAATTGAGAAGTCTTTCATTTTCTATGGCTTCAATATCAGGTGTCTCTCCTTCGGTGACTATCTTTGCATCTTCTATTTCTGGCGAATCTCGGTCCATTGCAGGGCCTTTGAAGAAATACGTGACGTGCCATATTTAACAATATGTGTATAATATTTCTGATATGATGTAATCAAGATGTAAAACTTTCTAGGAGGCTTTTTGTAAACAAATTAAATTTCTAACCCACAATATCATGCAAGTTACACCTACAGAGCTCCTTCAAATAAATTTAGATAGGCCTACTTCTAGCTGTAGCGATGCAATATTTAAATATCTGGTGAATAAAAGAGCAGGTAACTTATAGATAGAGTTTAAAGACTTGTTCCCAATAGAGTCAATACCTAATAGATCCTTTTTTAACGAAGGATATCAGCCAAACCCTGAGGTACTGCCAAGCTCTCCAGTTTCAGCTTTAACGTCCAAGTTCTCTCTGAAACTGGTCGATTTCTTTCCTAGCTGTCTTGCCTGGTGCCTACATGTATAACACCTTACTGTGCCTATTTAACCAGCATCAGACACACCTGTCATGGTCACAACCAGCTCAACTTAATGTAGGCCTACTGGTCGTGGTACACAGGTATTAAGTTTGCAAGGGCCGTGTGAGCGGCGCATTGTGTTCAGCAAGAAAAAATAATGGAGAATAATACCCTGGGTTGATGCTTGAATTGACACAGTGTTGTATCGCTTTGCTTTTGTATAGCTTGTTTATGCCTTTATGGGCTTACGTTCATGTACATGTAGCTATGTGCTTTGTCTGGATGGAAACAAATGATTTGTAGTCTGCGAAATGTTATTGTGTATTTTTGATAAGCCAGAGGGAAGTTTTTCCTTTATTAAGAGCTATTCAATAGTCAAAAAGTAAAAGAATTTCCGACAAGCATATGTTAACTTAATTCGTTGTCTTAAATCAATGGTAAAAAACATAACATTTTTCTCGGATTGAACTAGTCACGTAATATATTCGCAAATACGCTCAGCTGGTCAGATACCGCTAGCCCCCTTCTTCGTTTACTGAGAATGGTGAACCATGCAGCACTATCTTAAAGTTACAAAATTAAAAAAATAAAATAAAAAGATAACTACAACAAAGGTGCAGAAATGCATATGTACAATGACAAAAGCATATGCACAACGACAAATGCATATGTACAATGACAAAAGAGATAAAGAAAAACACTCTTATAAACACTTTTGTATCCGAGTTTTCAAAGAGTCGGATACCAGGACATTGGAGCTTGAATGTTTAAAAAAAGAGTGCACGCGTGCACATTGACCAACAAACAAACACTTATCAGTTGTTTAACGATTATTCTGGCAAAACCACTTCAGCCTAAAAACGTGTTTTCAATTCGACTTTGAAAGAAAAAGTGTGCGTCAAGTTAATTTTACATTTACAAACAGCACGGACGTAAGTAGGAAGCGACAAGGTCAGATTATACGCCTGCAAAACTTAGGAGCAGCGTATGGAAAGTAGCTTTGTGGATGAGTTAACGTAAAATAAAGGGGGATAAGGTTTGGGAAGTCGGGGTAGCTGAAAGATAACTCCATTGTTGACAAATACATCTATATTTTCTGTCAATGTCTATATTTTCTGAGAACAAAAATTACTTCAATATTTGAATATTCACCAGAGAAACAACCAGTTGTGTTTTTTAGTGCTAATTGCTCCATGACTATTTTCCCTTGAAGTGAAAATGAAAAACTGTTCCATCGTCCTACATTGCAAAAGGACTTTGCTTTGAAATAAACAAATTTCAGTCTAGTTCCATAAAAGCACTTGGTTGCAAATAGACGCGTGAGAAGAAAAGAGAGAACAAAAACTGAGCACAATGTTGCTGCTTACTATCTTACTCCTGTTTGTACACCTCGTCTTGTCGATGGAGCAGTCAAGACCTATAGTTTACGTAAGTACACTTTCTCCTCCATTTGAAATCAACTATTAATTTGTTTTTAGTACACAAATTAACAAAATACGTCATAGAAAAAACATCTAGGAGATCTAGGATTGTTGGCAATCTGACAATTAACACGTTTAAACTATTTTCAATAATGACTTGGTCTTTTTCTCGGGACAGGGTGTCTTATTTAACTTAGAATTTATTTCACTTTATTTATTTCAGCCAAAAAGTTAATTGACGTGTTATTGCATGTAGCATTTGAAATAAAGGGTACATTGTAGCAATTAAAGTACAAATAATAATAATAAATAAATAAATTATTGATAAAAAATATTGACATGTTAATCATATCATTATGCCTAATCAGCATGTTATTTTCTTTCTTTCTTTTTCATCAACGAAAGATGTGCAAAGTTATTGCAGGAAACGTACATCTAATCGTATAAAACGTTATTCTAAAACCTCAAACCCGATTTTCAACTGGTTAGCAACATCTGTATAGATTGCATTCTGAGTGCACGTAATACTGGCTTTTTTATTACACAAAATAAGAAATAGGTCTTGGGCGTCATGTTCAATTTTAACTGTAAAATTAAATTTTTCCATCAGATAAATTTGTAGGCGGTATTTAAAGGCAGTTTGTTTCAAATCTTTTTTTCAATCTAAATGTTCTAATTTTCAGCTATCAAGTTCTTATAACCGTCTTATCTGATTTTAAACAGGAACGACGCACCGTGTCGTCCGGGGGTACAGATACTAGTTGGGAACCCGTCTACACGGGCGGAGAGCGGGTATACACCAGTCGCACCTCATCAAGTACTAGTGGGGCTCAACCAGTCTACAGGGGCGGAGACCAAGTCTACACAAGGCGCACGATACAAACTTTGCCCGGAAGCGTGCGAGTCTACCCTGGCGAACGAGTGTATACGCGGCGTACGGTTCAAACTGTTCCAGTAGGATCGCAGCCGGTGTATACCACTGGCGAGAGAGTCTACACTGGCGGAACCAGAACCGTCTACCAGCCGTACTATACGGCCTCCGGAACAAGCAGCGGGAGTAGTAGTAGTGGGAGCAGTGGCGTCTGTCCCGACACTGGTGTAAGACAGTACATCAATGGTTTATCTTGCCGTGAAGCAATTTCCAGAGACAAGTGGCTGTGCTACGACTATGCCACCAGGAGCAAGGAGTGCTGCGAAGCCTGCTTGAGCTATAAGATCTCCGATGATCCGTGTAAGTCGTAGTTTGAAAGCAATGCTCAAAATTCGCGGTTCCGAACTCATGTTTTCTCAGGGGCAAATCAAGAGGAAATAACTTTAATTGCAATTTGCAGGCGTTTTAAATGACATGTAACTTATGAAAGCTCGATCACGCTCGGCTGTCACCACCCGGTTGACGAATCTAAAAACAAAATAAAACAGCTTTATAATAGTGCTTTCTTAGTCTAAAATAATAATGCAGTTTATAAGCCCACCATAATGAAAAAAAATATTTTTCTTTTACTGTAACATACATGAAGCGATCTCGTGAGTACCTACAACGTCAATTTTTGCTAGTGTAGATGCACGAGAAGTCACTTTTATCTGAAATTATTTCAGCATGTATGTACGGAGATCGTTCTGGAGATTGTGTTCGAAGCCTTCGGCCTTCCCAGTGCTACGACCCATTTAACTCCAAACTATGTTGTCAGACCTGCCCACAGTTGAAATATAGAAATGCTGAACCAGGTGCGTAAAAATTTTTGACATTTAAACAACCAGGGACAAAATATAAAGTTTTTGTTGTTTTAACATTGTGTGCTATACAGTGCGTCCCCATTTGAATGTTGAAAAAATGTCTTTGCAATCAAGGTTGCGAGTATGGGGACAAGGACCCAGCACGATGCCCCGTAATCCAAGCCAGCAGCTGCTATTCCCCTAACACTGCCAGCATCTGCTGCAATACTTGTGCCAGATTCAAGCAGCAGTACAACCAGCCAGGTAGGTTCTTAGCTTTAAAAAAAAAACGTTAAAATTGAAAACAGAATAATTTTGCATCTCTGCTTCCTAGAAAGTAAAATCTCACATCTTTTGGTCCTGACAGGCTACTGAAATGACAGTCTTTGGAAATGAAATAGCAAATGTAAGCTGTCATCCTAAATACACTGCATTTAAACTTAAATTGCAGGCCTTGTTCAGGTACAATAATAAAGATAATCCGGATTTAACAATTCATAAAAAATGTGGAAATAAATCATAAGAAAAAAGTACTGTACTATACAATGGTATAGAATTAAAATGCCTTTTTTTAAAATAAAGGTTGTGAGTATGGAGACAAGGACCCCGTACAGTGCCCTATTATTCAAGCCAGCAACTGCTATTCCCCTAACACTGCCAACATCTGCTGCAAAACCTGTGCTAGACTCAAGCAGCAGTACAACCAGCCAGGTAAACAGTTGTCAGAGCCATTGTGTGATGAACTCTTTGATGATATATCTAACAGAAAGTTGAATTTTTATCGCTTTTAACAGAACTGTTTTATGTTTAACAATAGTGATCAACTTCTGTTTAAAAAAATTCCTTGTCTGCAAAGAACACTAACAGCCAGTCCAATTCATTTTAGGATGCGAGTATGGGGATAAGCCAGCCCAGTTCTATGCCCCTGGGTATGGATACCCCCTGGACTGCCGTGGATACATCAGTGTCTTTGGTGTTGATCGCTGTAAAGAGAATCGCACCAGAAATGTCTGCTGTTTCACTTGTGCCGGCCATTAGAAATGTGAATTGGCAAATAACTCCCTTATTATAGAACAATCATGTAACACATCAACATTATAGATTTTGGTAAGAATGATTTTAAGTGCCTATTGAGCTCAAGTGTCCATTTAACATAATGTGACCATTTCAGTGATACCAACTGTTGCTGTAAAATCCAATGCAAATGAACTGCAATTTGATAGAGTATGTTCACCAGCAGATTCAGAACTTAAAAATGGGGAGGGAGGGGGCAAAATATAGAAGCACCATTTTGGTTTTTGAAAGTGTCCAAAGTCTGCATGTCTGTGTTATGGCTCCCTTTTTGAAAAACCCTCTGATCAACTTTTGAGCAACAATGTTTTTGACATTTTAAGTTGATTTTCATATATGCACATATGTTATACCATTATGAATAAAGTGACAGGCTGCAATTCTCCTCTTCCATCCTTGTATATCTAATTTGTAGTTAATGGTTTATAATCACACAACAAGAATGCATTTCTTGTTATCTCAAACCAGGTCTGTTACTCAAAATAAATTTTCGTATTGATCTGCCATTGTGTGTGACATTTGCTTTTTAATAAGAATAGCCCAATTTTTCACAAAGAGAAGTTCATATCAATACTTTCCTATGCATTTCATTTCCAGCATTTACATTCAGCATAAAGCACCAATCTTGCCAATTTAGCCAAATGCTAAATCCAACTTGAATTGGCTTAACAAAATAGGGTTGATTCGTCTAGCTTTAGTAAAAAAAAAAATGCTAGCACTAACCCAGCATACATCATCAGTCAGTTTCACATACACATAATCACAATGATTTAACAAAAAAGGCATTTCAAATACTATCAATAGTACAAACAAATACAACATAGGCATGTGCACCATGCCCAAAAAATTGACTTGCACTGTTCTTCATTCTGTTCACCAATTTAATGAGTTAAACCATGAAAGAATCTTTAGGGAGATTGTTTCCTATATATATGGGTACAAAAATGCTATGCCAACTTGTCATTGATTACTGTGAAGCCTAAATTATATCATGAAAGGAATCACAAATATCATGTACAGCTCCACACTGTCCAATGTCTTTTTTAAAAAACCACAACATAATGAGATCAAAAACAGGGGACTTGACTGAACATCATGCAGAATTGGATGTAATGTTTTCTTTCACATTCTCTGAATGCAGCTGTGCATTCTTGGCTGCTCCCTTAAATGCTTGGTGCAACAGTCTTTGTTTACCTCTCCTAAAAAATAAAATAATGTAAAAATAAACCATAAAGTTAATCAAAATTTTTATCAAATTTCTTTTATAACAGAAACAAATTTTCTAATACAGGAAGCAGATTCTTCTCTTCAGCATGGTAAAGTAAAGCTAAGTAAATACTATTTTTATGAAGAGACCTGATAGGTCTGTCAAGGCACATTTTCAAAATTTTGCTTAGTTGTTGAGTGTGTAACTTGCATCCTGATTATAGTAAGTGGCAATTTTTTGTCTCTATCACTCCTATACTAGTAAATAAACATCTAGCAATTTTAAAGTGGAATTTAATTTTAAGTAGAAGTTGCTACAAGAAAAAAAGTTGTTAAAAACTGTCAACATCAAATCATTTTGTACAACTCTATGAAACTGCAATGTCAGATTCGTGGTCAATGCAAATGCACTCACCCCTTCATTCCCATTAACTTTTGCGTGCAGGGTGAAACTAAGTTGTCCGTTGGACTAAAAAGCTGTTGCCGTAAAATGTTGTTTTTCATTTCTTTTGCCACCTCAGGACTTTTCATTGTGTTTTGACCTCTGTCTGCCATCTAAAAAATCCATTCAATATATGTGAACCATTATCAATGGCAATAATTTATACCGAGTATAATGAGTACTTGTTACAACACAAGTCATCCACTGTGTGCGAGAGTTATTAATTTTGGACCAACGAGTAGCCAAGATATATTAACAGCCTTTTATACTGCATACAGTGGACAATAAGTACGTGTAGTTGTAATTGACTTATCCCTTGACTGGTGCTTTTAACAATAGGATGTTTCCCTTACAATGCAGTGTAGAATACAGACGAGCATGTAAGAGAAATACAAGTCCATCTTTTATACTTCAGCTGGTGCTAATACAAACCAGCCTGTACTACTATTTCTTGTATATATATATANACTTATCCCTTGACTGGTGCTTTAAACAATAGGATGTTTCCCTTACAATGCAGTGTAAAATACAGACGAGCAAGTAAGAGAAATACAAGTCCAATTTTCTTATTGTGAAAGGGCCGGGAGTGTGATGAAGCCTATCTTTTATACTTCAGCTGGTGCTAATACATGTACAAACCAGCCTGTACTATTATATATATATATATATATATATATATATATATATATATATATATATATACTACTCTGATATGTGAGAAACGGTGCACTCTAGGACTAACAAGCATCCAAAACACTCAAAAACGTGCCGAATGTAATGATTTGAATCCATGTTACCAGTACATATGTTGCAGCATATGATGTATCAAGGAGTTGTATGATACTAGTACAAGAACAGTAAAGTATATTTAGCAGAATGACCGTCGTTTCCAAAGCAAAAATTATAATACATTTAAGTGTCACTCACCTTTCAGTATGGTTATCGTTTGCTGTTAAAATCAAGAAGAGTTGCAATTGAAGTCCCTATTTACAAACTGGGATTTAAATTAACCGCTGCCGTATGTCACTTCCGTTACATAAAAAGAAGTCTTTCCGCAAAAAGTAGTTTTACTAAATTTCTAATAAAACAATTATTAACCGTGTTGTTTATAAGTAATCGGCACAGTTTGATATAATAATATTTCATTTTCATAAATATGGGATAATTTTTAGATTGGAAAGCTGTTATTTGTGATAACGTAGTAATATTAGAAAATAGCGCCGAAAGGATTTACCTTTGACCTCGTCTTGACCACAAAAACATGGCAGCATGATATTTCGCGGGAAATTGTCACCGAAATGAAGCAACTTATCGGCGGATTTACCGCTTATGTCAAGCAACGGGGACAAGATATTTTTTCCAGTTAAAGGTGTTAATTTTTATGGTAAGTTTATTTTAACTGGATCAATTTGATTTGTGATGAAAAAGGTTTGATTGCATGACGGTGCTTTGAATTAATAATACTATAATAGCCGCACTGTGTAGTAGTTACTGCAGTATTGTACGGCTCACTGTGGAAAAGTGCTAGTTTGGAAAACTGACTTATGTTACTCCATCACTGAACTCTTGTGATTGTTAGCTCTAATTTTGTTCATAGAACTCTTTGATTGGTCCAATGCAGAAGAACGATGTAAGCTAACTGCAACAGATGCACGAAAACTGAGAAGACAGAGCAGCCAGTCGGGAGTGCGAGTGGAAGTCAACGAAACAAAAATTGCGTTGTTTCGTTATGGAGATCAGTTACATGCAGTAAATGAAAAGTGTCCCCATGCAGGTATGGGGGTGTCAGGGTTATTTGCATTACTAGAAAAAGTCAAGTATTTCACATGTAAATGTAATTCTAGCGGACACTGTGAAAAAGGCCTCCCCAAAAGTACAGTAGGTTGAATACTCATAGAAATTTTGGTCAGACATGACAAATTTAACATCTTAGATCATTAATTTTTGTAAAAGCTGTTTTTCAAAAATAACATCAGTAATTACACATGTACATTTTAAAGAGGAAATGCAGTATTTGTAACTCATTAGATATTTTATTTCCACTTTTTTATTTAATGTGTAGGAGGCCCACTCCACATTGGAGATATTGAAGAGCTGCCAGACTTCTCTGTATGTGTACGTTGTCCATGGCATGGATGGAAGTTTGATTTAAAGACTGGGCGTTGTAAACACCCCTCTGGTGAACAAAGATGTACGATAGTGTATGCAGTAAGGGTAGATACACAAGGAAACATTGAAATTGGCTTTGAGAGTTTTAGTGGCAAATATTTTAACAGTGAAGATTTTTAATGACATATGAGTTTTATCTGATACAAGACTTTTTTGCTCTCATACATGTAGTGTTGCATGTATGCAGGATTAATATACAAACAGTAAAGGGAGAGAGAGAGAGAGGGAGAATGATACGAAGCATCTGATGGACACTGCACAGCTGTGGCTGGAGTGTAAAATGATGCCATGTTCAAAGTTAAAATTGCAAAAAAGTAACAAATACCTCTTTTAATTGATTTTTATCTTTATCTTCCTTGAAAGAATTGGAACTCGGGTTAATAATACATATGAAGACAGGTACAATGAATTAAAGACAAATGCAGGGTACATTTGTAATCAAGCTTAACAAACTTGATACTGTTGTGATATTAAAAGTTGCTCAGAATTGATGATAAACAGGCTTTTTAGTTTAAAAAGTAGTTAAGAGTGCCTTGTAATAGTTATATGGTTTACTTGCTGTGCTTTTTTATTTAATTTTTTAATATTTATTTTTTGCTTTTAAGTGAATAGTACTGTGTTAGCTTTTCATGATATTAATACTGGTTTACGATGTTCATTCACATGCACTTGTTTTTACATATTTTTTATACTGAGACTGAAACAATTTTTGGAAGTCTTAAAAACATTTTAATCAGTATTTACAGTTTCAAACCTCAAATTGTATATACCTGTTTTACTTTATGCATTGGGAATAATACTGTTCACAGCATAATGTGATCTTTTAAGGGATAACAACTCTTCATATGGGATTCAAAATTCCTCAATGAATGCATTGTAAACAACATAAGCATTATAATAAATTTCAATACCACCAAAATGGTGGCTATCGCAGTTGTCCTGAAATCTGTGCTTGCCATCGGACCAAGAACCTTATCTTAAGAGATTATTACAAAATCTACACACAAAAAAAAACAAAAAACAAAAAACAATAGATTTACTGAATGTTGGAACGGATTCATTAACCATGGGGAGGTATAGGAAAATTGTCAAATACCCCAGGAAAATTCATTTTATGGCACATTTTCCCGTCAAAGTGAAGAGTTGTCATCATGTCCAAGAACCTTTTAGTCACGTAATTTCTGAAATATTTCTGCAACATTCTCTTATTATTGCTTTGCATAGCAGGATTACCTACACATTTAAACTACTTTCAGTTTAAAATGGTACCAAATATTGTTTTATTATTGTGCTGTAAAAATGTTTTATTTACCGAAGTCCTATTTGTTTTATAGTAATATAAAATTTCAGTTGTTTATTTATAGTAAATCACTAACTTAAAGTTATTTATTTTATAAACATCATGTTTCTAGTGCATATTTTAAAAGAAGTCCAATCAAACTGAAAAAAAAAAATTGTCCAAACTCTATATAATATTATACTAGTAGTTTGATATCTTGCCTATAAGTGTTGGTTTACAAATGATATTTGTATATTTTAGCATTCAGAATGATTGTTGCAAAAAAAAAAAATAAATAAATAAAATTCACTACATTTTATTAATTTTTGGAAAATACCAAATGTGTTTATCAACTCTGTTCACAATTTCATTTAATTTTTCTGGTAATGAAATGGTCACAGAGACGCAGTTAAAACAAGGTAAATAACAAATGAGGATTAATTTTTATAAATAGGCAATTCAACCTCGAGCAGAATGCTGGTACAATTTGCCTTGGAATGTTCTGTGAAGCAAATGGTTATGCAAATCCAAGTCAATAAATAACACGATGAGAAAACAAAGCACTTTAACTAGTTGTCATCAAGAAACATTTCTCCTAAAACTGACAATCTGGCATGGAAAGGTCTAGCTGGACATGTAAGTAATTCCTGTTTATGTCTTTTAGATTTTGAAAAATAATTTGCACAAGTTATATTTAACTCTGTTTTAATTTCTTGAAAAAGACCCTGCACAATATTTTTCAAAGCAGAGTTGAACTGTTCTTGATTATCACTTGTTTTAATAGCTGCATCACCCTTGGCATTAACAGCACCATTTGGCGGTAAAAGTTGAGGTTGACTAGAAGTTTTTTGAGGTTGCTGAACTGTCACAGTGCTGTCACTCTCTCCCTTTTTTTGAGAAGTGGCAACAGAAGATTCCGAGTCTCCTGAAGTAGATTTTGTTTTTGTAAGATCTAATTTATTTTTCTCAGGGTAAGTGCTGGCACTCTGTGTGTCAATTTTTTCAGTATTAGATGTTGATTCAAATTGTGTATTACTGTTCCTGTCATTTGTCAATGAGTTGGCATTTTCCAATACTGTGCTGTGTGCCTCCTGAGCATGTGGTGTAATACTCTTTTCAGCTTTGGTATCTGTGTTGCCTGGTGGTATCTCTGTGCCAGTATTCATTTCATGTAATTGTGAATCCTGTGAACTTGAAGCAGTAATCTCACTCCCTAGAATCTCCTTGGGTTTTTTAGGACCATTCATTTTTTCCAATATTTTCTTAAATGCTTCAACAGTCTGCTGCATCAAATCAGATTCTTTTTGTTGCAAGCTTTTGAAATTACCAACATTTTTCTCTTGTGAAGAGGGCATTTGTTCTGATGGTTGTTTAATGTCTTCTACAAGTGGATCTTCTCTGTACTTATTTTTGCCTTGTTCCACAGTTGTCTTTAATCTAAGCATGTCTGGTTCATTATCAACTAAATCAAGTAAACTCAACAAATTAACATTGTCTTGCATATCTTGTACCAGCATATCATCTTGGTGTTTTTCTGCACTACAACAATAGAGGGCAGCAGTGTCCACAGGATGGGCCTCTGTGTTAAAAACATATCCACCAGCATCAATGATGCACTCTCCACTTGGCGTCTGAATGACTGTGCCATGGCCAGCAGTGTTGTGGATAAAGTTTTCAGGGTCAAAAAGAAGGTAAAGATACTTGGTTGTTTCTGCTAAGAAGAAGGATTCCATTCTGTTCTCCAACATGTGAGTTTTAACATTTTGAACCTGTAATAAATATGTCCAGCTGTGTAATTTTCAGTGTTAGGTGAATCCAAAGTTGTTGAAAGAAACCCGTTACATTTTATTTTTGCATTTTTCTCCCAAAATAAAAAAATGGGTTCTTAATACAGTAAACCTACTTTGAAGTCATTAACACATCTTTAAAACATGGCTGTCAGAAATTCTAAGGAGATAACTGATGGTTTAATTTCTGTCAGGAACCTGCGCTACAATTTACCAGTAACAAGTAACAGAAAATTGTACCTACTGTAGCATAGCCACATCTTGTTTTTGTGCTGTGTTCTATGGATTCTAGTATGTCTACACCAACTTCCAGCAGGTATGGATCCTTTGTTGCTCTGTATAGGTACATTGTGCTCTCTATCAATTCTGAAATAATTCAGGTTTTATAAATTAAACAAATAAATGTTTATCTGCAGATTTTACTTTTACATGTACACAATATGAAATGAAATGAAATGTCAATTTTCAGTTGTATATGGTACTGAATATGAAAATACTGTACTATGTGGCCTTTTGTGAGGTTTCATATTTTTATCCTCTAAATCAAGGACAAATTAAAGCATTGTTTCTAATATCTGTTGTTCATTGTGCAATGACAACTGATTGTTACTGTTATTTTCCAACCTGGTCTAAGCGGGTACCCCTCTCTTCCTTGGTGAACCTCACTTTTAGCAATATTGTAGAATTCAGGAGTAAAGCCATGTTGTTTCCAAACTTGATGGTAATTATGGAGAGTTTTCATGGCTTTGTCAATGTCACCAATTAGGCTCTGAAAATTATAACATGATATATATAAAAATTTTTCTTTTTTCCTCAAGTGCTAAATAACATAAATGAAGGCCTTTGGGTCATCGATGGTCACCACAAACATTACATTTATCAAAAACAATTCTGAAAAAGCCTCTTCGAAAATCCATGCAAAAATTCTAAATATTTGAACACATGTAACTAAATTAAATAAGTAGCAGCAAAAATGATATAATCTTTAATAGGTGAATTTTTCTACATGTACCTGCAATCCTGGCCAGAAGGCCTCCAGAGACTGAAAGACAGGAAGAGTGACTTGACCTTTAACCATGTGGACCCACATATACCAATCATCCTGTTTCAGGTGGCTTTCTATAGATTGTTTAAAACCTGCAAACAGGTCAGATATTGCAATCAATACAAATCAACACATCAATACAAAAAGACACACTAAAATTCAACAGTAGAAACAACAGCTAGACTCAATATTCTGAAAATGTATAAATCTGAGTTTGGCTATTGTATGAAGAAGCTTTTTATTGTAAATTTGGGTGCAGAATACAGATGATTTTTTTTGGCATGTGTATGTGCTTGTGTGTGTGTGTGTGTGGGGGGGGGGGGGGTACAATACACCATAACAAAAAACCTATAAATCAACTTCATAAAACTCACTGGCAAACATCTCCATGAGCTCAGGTTTCTGTAGTAGGATGGCTCCTTTAACCAAGTACTCAAAGTAGGAGTCCACTCCAGCTCCAATACCTGAATCCAGTGCTGTCCATTGACCAGTCTGCACATTGATGTGGTTACCAACCTGATAATAACAGCTTCAAGGTTAAGCCACCATACCAACATGTGACACCATTATAAAACATATTTGTCTATTTGGAATAAATACAGACTACAATTTCAGGTCTTTTTTCTATGTTAACATGCATTGTACCATTTCTTATTACAGGTAGAATTTCTAATTATATAATTTTCATGCAGGGAAGATGAATAAGTTTTAATACTTCACAATAATCAAGGAACAATTACCTTAAAAAAGGATAACTTCCTAAAAGATAATCAAGATATGCTTCAAAACCTATTAAACCTACCAATCCAATTTCAGACCTATAGTTCCACAAAGATGTCAGAGCTCTCATTGCTGTTTGTTCAAATATAGGATCCCCTGTTAGTTTAGAGAGGGTCCCAAATTCAACAATAAATGTCGCAACTCCAGCAGTGCAAGTGACTGCAGTCTCCCCTTCTGGAACGCCATGCCTGAGGTTTACTGTTCCATAGGGCATACCAGTACTTGTATTGAAGGCTTAGAATGAATGAAAAAGCAAGGAAACAATTAAGTGACATAGCAGCTCATAATCACATAATTGGGAACACAGTATTTTGGTCTTTTTGACTATGTACTCCAAATTGCTGTTAAGTATGGCAAGTTGATATTTCAAAGGGTCAATCAGTCAAAAGATAAGGATACCGCATTGCTTAGTGTGATATACTTTACAATAATCTAAAAGAAATGTTACTCTATATTATTAGATTGTACAGATAGAAACCCTAGTACCAGGGAGTAATCTTCTAGCAACATCTTCAGCAAGTCTAAGAAGAGGTCCTGAGCATGGCCAACCAGGTTCTAGTACCATATCTGCTCTCTTTGTTAACAAGTGTGCTGACAGCAGACCTCCAACAACTGAATAGACAAATAGGCAAAAGGAATAATAAACATAAAAACCTTCAACAATCATGGGGACTAATCTTGTTTTCTATGTTTACTTTGTATTAATTAAAAACGTCATTCAAGTTAAATTATATTTCTAGAAGCATAATCCTATCTCACTGATACTGATCTCTATAAATCATAGTCCTTTTGAAAGTTTAAGGCTGGACATGGAGCACCATGTTAACTGTCAGGCATTCAATTATGCTTTTTTTCTGACTGATGTGATCCGTAATATCAAAGGGATATCAGCTGATTAGACCACACCTCTTATGTTTGTCTCAAACACGGATGCATTGATATCAATATCAAAGTCTACTTCATCTGCCAACTTGTAAGCTACTCGTCTAAATTCAGTCATGTTTCCCATTATAGCTAGGGTATCCAGGGCATCAATCAATGTCAAGGAAAAACTGAAAATGTAAAATTCATGCAACAATCTTATGTGCTTGGCATTGAGACCATATTTGTAAAATAAAACATAATCTTTAAAGCAATATTTCTTAATATACTTATGCAGAACAGTAGGGATTGTTTGAAAACTTTTATGACTTTAGTAAAAACAAATTCAGATAAATTGCTTTACACAGCTACTGGTGCTGGGTCCTACAAATTAAATTATTTCATATTGGTAAAGTTTATATAGTACATAAATATTACTAATAATGCCCCACTTTGTAACACATTTTCTATTATAAACAGCAGGTTTGTTATATACATAAACAATTATCAAATCATACCTTCCCCATGTATCATGTCCATCACATGTTATTGGTCGAAGTTCGTCATAAGGATAGGCATATTGCATATATCCATCATAGGCATGGTGAAACATCCTAACAACTTTGTCCCTAAAATAATATGAAGAAGTACAAATGCTTAGTAGACAATAAAGGAACAGTTGGTGCAGAGACACAACACAAAAATAAAAAAATTTGACAAAATTGCCTATTGCAGGGGCCCGATTTAGGCCGTCTTCTGGGTCTTCCGGAAGACGGTCAGATTTTCAAGTTTACATTGACGGGTATCTATTTTTTCTGTCGGAAGACGGTCAAAAACGGAGGATGGATCAACAAAGACAATTTGGAAGACTGTCAGAAAATATCTCTGGATCCGCCCCTGCCTATTGGGTATCAACAAATATTTTGGTTCTCATTTGTTTCTCATTTATATTATTTATAAATCCTCCACATATTGTAAGTCATACAAAGATAACAGAGTACAGCATTTCTGAGAAAAAGACTGAAAAAGATGATGCCAGGCTGATATCTGATTTTGAAATGTAACATCTGTTATCCTTTGACATAAAAGTGAACTTTAAAAAACCCTGTGGATGTAATAAATCACATCAGACTTTGGTTTTAATTTTTATACTTTCAAAATCATCATGTTAAGTAAAACTTTAGAAGAATACTTCTGGAAGCTTTTATCTACATCATGTTGATAATTCCGTCTGTACATGACACTGCATTGCACTTGTGGTTCAACAGTAACATTGGACACGGTGTACACCCTTTAGAAGATATATATTCAACCAATTTCTAATATATAGATCTTGTTATTTTCTAATACATTTTGGTACATAATGGCAGACTCAAACTTAGTTCATGATAAAAAAAGTAGCAGGTAAATGGGCACAGGTAAATGCATGTACTGCATAAGTTGAGAGAAACCATACCAAACCAACTTGATTATGATGCCCACTTAGTGTGACCAATTAATTTACCAAAGAAATCATGCAGCATTTTGACTTTCTCTCTTTATTGGTGCACGAAGGCCTTTTTCTCTGATTAAGATTATGTGGATTTATCTCTTCAAAGTATCTTTTCAAGGTAAGATACATTTATTATGAAAGATTTAGAGACAAGGTGAAACATTTGGTAAAAACGAGGCATGTTTATGTCAAGGCACATTTTGGCAAAGGGCCATTTAAATAAAATGTATGAATTAAGAATTACCTGTAATGGGGTAGTATAATATTACCCATGTTGAAGGGGGGGGGGGGAGCGAAACCGGCGAAAAAAGTGAAAATTTGAAAAAAAATGTGTATTTTCTCACAATGGAAGTGATAAAAATAATATTACAATTTACCTATAAAAATTCAACTCCTTCTTTCCAAAAGATCTGAGACCACATATCGGAGATATACCTAAGAGAATGAAGAGCACAAAACATTTTGTAAGTGGTCGTGAAGATTCCGTGGCATAGGAGGCTACCATATTGAATCTCGCGTAGAATCTCGTTCTAAACTTCCTTTTCCGGTGTGCAGCCATCTTGAATCACAAAGTGAGTTTTAGTACTCCGAAACAAATCTAGAAACATCCGTCTTTCTGAAGAAAGTTCAGAATTTTATATTGGTCAGCTACTTCGTTGAGATAATGCACTTAAATATCACATCCAGATAAGGCGATGAATCAATCCAGACAAACATAGCAATGTATTAAAATTGTCTTTACTCTCATGTTCGTCTTGTCAGTGGTGCCCGTTATAAAAACATGGACATTTCTCGGTTTCTCAGAGTTTTTCAGACAAGTATATTTTCACATAATTCTGTTAACGAGATAAATTCTGTATTTATGCGTCTTACGTTTCCTAACACCGACAAACTTGCACTCGATATCAGTTGGCCAAGGCTTTAATGAAGTAGTATTTAGTGTACCTTATGCTTTGGTGTTTTATAAGTCTTACACAGCTCCTACATTAACTTTTTTGGATATAACACAGGTTCTACATTAACTTTTATGGACGTAAGTTCTTAGTGTATGTGTCATTACATTTTTATCTCTTCTGGCATGCAAGTGTATGCTTGATTTGTTTATTGAAAATGAACATGAATGTCTCTCCCGCAGGATGTTGATGCCCAAGAAGGCCCGTATTGCCGTGTATGAACACCTCTTTAAAGAGGGTGTTATGGTGGCCAGAAAAGATTTCATTGCACCAAAACATCCAGAACTTGACAATGTTAGGAATCTGTACGTGATTAAGGCAATGCAGGTATGTTACCAAAATTAAGCACACGTTTTATTTCTGTATTATTGGTTGGGATTGGTAAAAATAATGCAAAGTTTCATCTCCCTAAAGCAGCATATTAAATGATTGCACCATACATTTTTCACTTACCACTTGGAATGTTATGTATTTAAAACTTCCTTGCCTATTATTTCCTTTTTGTAGTCTCTCAAGTCCAGGGGATATGTAAACGAACAGTTTGCATGGCGTCACTACTACTGGTATTTGACCAATGAGGGAATCCAGTATCTGCGGGACTTTCTTCACCTGCCGCCTGAGATCGTGCCCTCTACACTTAAAAGACAAGCACGGCCAGAGGCTGCTCGAGCTGTCCGACCAAAAGGTGTGTGTTTAGAATTCAAAATTGTTTAGTCACATAATTAATTAATTAAATATTGAATAAAGGTAGACTTAAGTTTGATAAGTTGAAATAGGAAATAAAGCATTCGTAAAAAAAAATTTTTTTTAATTTGACAGTCCCAATTATAAATTTTGCTGTTGATCACCTGTTTGCTTTTTGGACCTGCAGTATAGTATTATTGATGGAATTATATTTTTATAATTCAAGTCAAGAACACCATTGTACCTGAATGTGAAAATGACTGTTGACATCTATTTAAAAATTGCTTTGTGCTCCTTAGGTCCGGAGGGCCCAAGATCAGGTCCTGGAGCAGCAGATAGAGCAGAATACAGAAAAGCTGGACCACGTAAGTCCATTCAAAGTAAAATAAAATTCTAAATGTAAAGTGAACCATTAGATAGGCTTAATGAATGTTATAAAGTTTTTAATTTTCCTACAAGAAGTGAAATGCTCTGATATCTTCATTGTGATGAAGGTGTATCCACATGGTTGATTTTCTTGTCTTGTCTTTTTTTTTTTGTAGCTGGAGTTGACAAAAAATCAGAAGTTGGAGCTGGTGCAGACCCAAGTTTTAACTTCGTAAGTTAAATCTTGCAGAAAATTTACCTACTTATGTTAAATTATCTTGAGGAAATTATGATTAAACAGTTTTCACAAGATACTTTGAAATAAATTAGGTTGTTTAGCCGAAAATGTTGACAAAAACATGAAAATTTCACATGCATTTTTTTTTTCAGAGAGGTGGTTTTGGCAGAGGAAGGGGAGCACCACAACAGTAAATGGGATTGTGGGAGACTTATAAACTTGGTATCACTGTACAGAGAAATTACATACAGGACTCTGATTTTTCATCTTAATGAGACAGAAGATTCTGCAACAATTTGCATAAGTGTTCTAAGTAAGCAAAAAAATTAATAAAACTAAAAAAAAAGGAGAATCTTCAATAAGGAAATGTTCGTGTTGTTGTTGTTCTTTTCTTTGTGAAAATTGCACCTTTATGTAACTAAGGCATTCAAAGATATGTTTGGAGTCATTTTTCTGCCAGAAAAGCCAACCAAATACCACCATATAGTATGTTTCAAATAGCATAACTTGCCTAAAGACATCTTTCATATCACTTGAAAAATTAATTTTTCTGCTTGCTGTATGTAAACAGGGCAGATAAGTAGAACAAATGAGGCTAAATTAAAGACCCTCATTGCATCTAGAGGTTTAACGTGTAATGGGGCCAAGAAGGATGGTTCAAATCTGTTAAAGCTGCAAGCCTATGCACAGTGAACTTCGATTTTTGTCAGTGGGGGGAGAAAAATAATTCATTTCGCCAAGGTTATTTATCTTTTTGTGCTATAAAGTAACAAGAAACTGTTCTGACCTCAAAATTTATTTAAATGATGACTAATATATCTGCAATATTGCATTTTAAATATAAGTACAGGAATGAGATTTTTCTATTGACTGATTTCAGACTCTTTGGGAGCCAAAAACATCATTGGCCCCCTGGACTCCACACCATATTTCCTGACATTTTCTAAATGGCACTTTAATCTCTGTTGGTAGAAATTCTTAAAGATGTAACTTATTTTTTCAGTCTGTCTTAAGCCTCAAACTAACCTGAATGAATCCTGTTCAGTTTGAAAGAAATGAAACTGATATTTTATCACACACATATTTCAATACTATAAAAAGAAAAGCAAGAAAAACTTGCTAAAAGCCAGTACTAAGCTCAATGTATATGTACACATGTTATCACAGCTGCTTTGATAAGTTTCAGGACTCCTGAAGTTTGAAACAGAGATGGACCCACAGGTCGATATATATATATATATATATATATATATATATATATATATATATGCATAACTGAGTGGATATCCTGTAAGCCATTAAAAAAATACTAAATTTATAACAACCATTCTATAAAACTATACTTGCCCAAAATAATGAGCTATCAGTTGCCACAATAACTGTTGCTATCAGATTAAGCACTACAATTCAATATGAACAAGAAATCTGGTTCTTCACAACCTATCAAATTGAATGTAAATAATTCCTGGTATAAAATGTATTTCAAAAATTTACAGTGGTTGCAGAAATACCTTTCATAGCAAACTTGGAAAAAATACAGTTAAAAATTCAAAATCAAAATACCCAACAAAAACATTCCTATTATCTTAGAAATTGCTTCAGAATGCTAAGAATAGCTCATTTATCTGCTAGGGGTTTAAGTTTTGATTGAGGTGTACATTTATCTTTGGATGAAATGAATGAAAAGGGAAAGCCAACATATGGGTATGGCACACTTGATAAATTACTATGATCATATTTTAGAATATATATATATATATATATATATATATTCCAAAACCTTTTAAAAAAGCACTCTCCAACTACTCTCCATGATATATTTTTTGCGTTCTAAGACTGCCGTTTTTAGTAATTTTTTCATATGGCTTGGCAATTTCCTTTCTCTTGTTGTACGTTTGATGGTAGAAATTGCCAAAGAGAACTATGTGGGAGACCATGTAGAGGATGAGAGCTGCATTGTATCCATTTGGGAAACCACAGTCCTTGTACATAGCGAAGCTGGTATGGAACAGAATAATTACAAATTGCAGCTGAAATTGAAGAATAAACAACTGTTAGAGTTCTTGGACAAGTGAAGATTTTAGTAGACATATATAATTAGTAATTTATTTTATAATGAAATTATTTTTCAATATGAAAACATTTTTTCATATATAAAAAGTGATTTTTATAACATCAAGATAACACTTTACACAGTATAAAGGATGAAAACGACTGCAACAAAAATATTGATGTGGACAAAATGATTCTAAATATTATTATGATTATATAAAAATTATCATAAACCATAGTGATCTTCAAAGCACTTTTCCAAATCTATATAATATGTGCTGTAGTCAAATAAGGACTCCTCACAGGACATGCTTAGTCGAAACAGTCAAAAGCTATTCTTGTTGGAAGATCATAACATGAGCTGCACAGCAGGAATCAAGTAGTCCCCCCCCCCTCCCATAAATTCATAGAAAAATGTCATCTTTTCCCCACAGAAATCATGGCTCACCAACTGCAGAGATGTCATATACTTCTTCCACCATAAGTATTTTTGCATATGTGGACCAATGGCAGACAGTCCATAGTAAGTGTACATCAGAATATGGATCAAGCTGTTAACCAAGGCAGAAAAATAGGCTGGAATAATCAAAGCAGTAGGATGATTCCATTCTTGTTACATATTATTTACTGGTCAATTTTCAAAAAGATCTGTACGAAGAAAAGGTTAGCAGTGTAATCTTCTTTACGACTGATGGAAAAGATGGGTCTGACAGCTAGTATACTCACATTCACCTCCTGGTACAAACTTGACTCCAATCCACCATAGTAACACCATAGTAGAGTGATGGTACACATGGAGGAATGTTATCTGATTGTTCTTTTTTCGCAGGATGAAGAAAAACTTGAATGAAAACAAAAATAAGTATTATTATTTTGTAATTTATAAAAGTTCTCCACACCAAAAGACAACTTGGTTTTTTATTAATAAAATAAACGAACACATAAAAGTGTGCAGCATTTCAGTAACCTCGACAACACTGAATCAGCGAATAATTAACATAAACATGTGTCAAACATTTTTATTGGTAATATAGAACAGCGTTTTCTAATTCATGGCCTGCCGGGTGTTTTTAGTCAATTCCATCGCTCTTTGTTCTGAACAATGACTATGGTACTCCAATTTCTTATTTAGTTTTGCAATATGAACTTACTGTGTCCATAAACTCAATTATCTTGGAAAAGAAATACCACCAGCATACATTAGCCAACTGCAAAATAAATAAAATAAAATAAACAATCATGTTAATTAGTCATGGTTATTACAGAGTGCATGCATACCAAATGAAAGAAAACATGGCTTTATTTAAATGGTAATTAGTCTCAAGGGTAAGACTGGGTTCCCATGCCTAGAACGAACCATCTGGATTGGTCTAACTCCCTAGGGAGTCTAACTAAATTGCTATAAACTTAATTAACCGGCTTAATTGTCTGTCACACCTACCGAATCAGCTAGGGGGTAAAGATCATTACCCCTAACAGCTTTACTAGGCGTGACAGACATTTAAGCTGGTTAAATTGATAGCAATGTAGTGAGACTCCCCAGGGAGATAGATCGATCCAAATATCTGTGGGAATGGTCCCTAAGCATATACATTTTATCATAAGACTTGTCTGATATGTGAATATATGGTAAGTCGAGGTGTTAAAAAAAAAAACAACTTGAGATATTTACTGAAATGCAAATATTTGCAGACATCAATATATAAAACTCTGGATAATACTCAATCTTGTTTATCATGATAATTTTCTATCTTACGTTTAATGCATTTATCTTGGTACCTGACATTTCCATATTAAAATAGGACATAACTTTAAACAGGACATGCTGGCAAAGAGATGAAATTGAGTTGTTTTATGAGAGTATAAGCTACTTACTCTAATTGCCATGGGATCATCTTTGGTATCCACTGGTTGACATACCAAGCTAAAGCTGGCATTCAGTACAGTACTTGCAAATATCTGTAAATGCAAAATTGTTTTGCCAAATACTAGAGTTGAATGTCAGGGGCGGATCCAGAGATATTTCCTGACAGTCTTCCAAATTATCTTTGTTGATCCGTTCTTCATTTTTGACCGTCTTCCGACAGAAAAAAATTAGATACCCGCCAATGTAAACTTGAAAATCTGACCGTCTTCCGGAAGACCCAGAAGACGCCCTAAATCCGCCCCTGAATGTTGCCTTAATCTGTGACATATTTTACTTGCAAAACTAAACTCTGTGGAAATAAATGATCTAATTTTGAAATCATAATTCACGAGCACAGTAATTCATGGCATATGGTAGATGAATTTTATGCTTGTTTGCATTATTAGTCATAATGAAAAAGCATAAAGCTTTTGCTCTATATTATAATATTATAACACTGTACTATGAAATTTCCTAATTTGAACAGAATTTCACATTCCAACATACCTCCCAAAACATGTATACAGATAGGAACACAAGGCCTAAATTATACACAACCAACACTTTGTTTAGTTTGTATGCTGGTCTGCTTTTCATCCATACTGGTCCCTTCCACACCAAGTACAAATACAGTGCAGTTGCTGTATAAGATGGGATTGGACTGTCCATAAGAAACCATTCTGATGTCCTTGGATCTGCAGGAATTAAAGAAAATATTGATTATTATTATTTGTAGATATTTCTTTTGTAGTTAAACAGTACATATAACTCGCCAATAGCTAGACAAATAACATATTTTTACAAGATACAGTTTCTGTAAAATGTACTTATATCATTTGCACTGTAACTGTTAAAAACTTGTGCGAACAGTTGCAAAAGGAGAATTAGTTAAAATGTTTTATTTGCTGACCTGATAGAGACATGATTCCACTGTAGAGGTCTCCCACCATTTTCAAAATTGAAGCTATTCCTATTATTCACAGCTAGGAGTTATTTTACTAGTTGGCTCTGAAATGAGAACGCTTTTAGTAAATGTCATTATATTTAAACACAAATGTATGTACTCTCCCTATTTCTGCTAAAAGATTTGCTTCTATTTTTGAGTGTCATTTTGTTGTAAATAAATTTAAAAAAATAATTCATCAGATCTATACACTTTCATGACTATTTTGTTCACAAGAAACCTTTACAGCTTTTACTACTTTCGATAATTTCTATTTCTGACATTTATTTTAGAAAAAATGTTTAAGCTGTTTATATTTTTATTTTCAGCATCTTAATTAACAAAATTTCACCCTACATCACTAAAGTGCAGCACTCCACAGGTTTTGTTTCATTTGGTTATTTTCTGCATTTCATTATAATTCGAACATGAGCATCAGCCTAACTACCCTGTACCTGTATTTCAAGCAACGCTGGGTGATATAATATTAAAAGACAGCATGGATAATGTGCTAGAGAGAAATTTATATGAACATATAACAAAATCATCTATTCCAAATTAATGAGAAAAATATTTTACAGAAAACATAACACCTTTTCTTAATACAGAATACACCCATTTTCAACATATAGGTCCATTTGAAGAAAATAAAAAAAAAAAAATTAAAAATACAGTTAAAACATATTCATGCATTCTACCATTTTCTTAATTTCTGTTGACAGAAAGTGATAAATTAGCTTCTTTTGTAATGGACATTTTATAAATTCATGTCATGCTAGAATGGGGAAATTTTCATATTTAGCAACGAAGGTTTCAGCTGTCTTAGTGTTGAAAGTTTTGAAAATTACAAACAACCCTTTTCAATAATATTTCTTGAAGCCCTCTCTTGTATGTAAAACCTGTATATACTTTCATAATCATTAGGGGGTTGGGGAACGGCACAACTTTTCTGTACATTCGGCACACAACAATGCATAATGACTTCTATCTGCAACCAGCCAGTCTATAGCCATTTAACCCCTAAACTACAGCAGAGGCCTCTATCACTTATGATCACTTGACATCGAAAACAAGCACATTGTTTTTCTTGCAATTTTGATGCAATACTATCACCGATTGTTACTTACATTTATCGGAATACTACGCTGGTCACATCTTCAACACGTTAAAATGTTTGTACACTTTTGCTCGTGTTAAACAAGCACGTGTTTGTTTACACGGCAACGTTTAAATGACCGCCCGCTCTAGTTTTTCATCCAATGAGGCGTCGTTTTACTTTGCATCACCAAATAGCGTAATATGAGAGCTTTTGTTTTATAGGTCAAATATAGGAGCACTTACCGGTGTTGGAGCCAGACTTAAAGATTGTTGGTGGCAACGAACGAGTGCTCTAACTATCCAAATGCATCTATAATTCTGTTACCTTGAAGTTTAGGGGTGAGTATTTGTGCTTCATTAGCTATCTCTTACATAGACTTTGTAATAATCTCTTGGTTCACGTTAACGAAAATGCTGATTAGACCCGTAAGTCTAGTTCCCGTAGTTAGAGACCGCGCCTCACCAGTACTTGTGTTAGTAATGTATTATTTTGCTGGGACCGCGACTTCTGAGCATTTACAATATGCATCTTATAAGACTGAATTTTTAGACATTGTATAACACTGTAGACCTTTGCAGGCCAACCGGCCTAAGGCTTATATCCAGCTTCGGCAGCTACAGATTTACACCGCAGGTACGTCTCGAAACAAAAATGATGATGTACCATGTTGCCAAAAATTAACCTCAGTACCTGTTTTACAATACATATACAAGAATATCATTGTAAATTTACACTAAAGCATTGAGCTATATAGGATACTGTCTGGGGCCATTAAGCTGGTTTCTCGGTATCACGTCATATTATCTATCCAGGTCAATATTACGTATTTTAGACCATGTGTTCGCTGTACAATAGATTCACTGCCCTAGTTTGCATCATGTGTAAATAGATTTTTAGTCTTTCAAGCAATAGGAATTAAACATAAGGTGAAGTTAAAAATTTTACTAGAGAATAAAAATCAGCCAGTCAACTGTGGAGTGACAAGTATACATCTCGGACCACTGGCTTTAAATGCTGCTTAAAAACATACCCACTTTCATTATCAGATGTCAAGGACTATGATTTGTCAGTGTATGAACATTTATTTAATCTGTCAATTGCTGAGAGATAACACTGATAGCAAACCACGTTTTATAGAGCATTGCACGTGGTTATCATGGCTGTGTGCATGAACTTTATTTGGATGGGCAACTGCAATGAATTGTGAACTTTGCTACCTGACATTAGCCAAAAAAAAAAAAAAAAAAAAAAAATGCTGTGACTTTAAGTCATAACACTTTTTAGATAGGTGTGATGTAATAAGAGGTGCTTCAGGATGCTGTTACAAGTTGACTGCAGCACCTCTTAAACAATGCTTTATAGAACTGCCCCACTTCTCTTGTATAACATTCCTATCATATATATTTAAAAAGAACTATTTGTTTATTTGCAGATTTTTTATACATGTTTGATATTGACAGAATAGTGCTCAGCCTTAATTGCTCCTAATAGTAAATAGTAAAAATCAAAAGTTTACTGAAACAGATCAGTTGATCATCTAACAGAGACTGTGATTGTAGGGGCAGATGTGTTTAGATTCTTTACTTAAATTACACAATATTGTTGCTTTATTTCTAAAATAGTTTGTCAATTGCACCAGGCCAAGGTTAGGTTTAAAAATCTCAATCTTAAAACAAAGTCAGTTTACCTGTTGAGTACCTGCACATGGTTATCAAAAGAAAGGGAATACTTGGTATTGTTAGAACAATAACTTGAGCACACACCAGGGTACTTTTGAATGGTCACTGGTCCATGTTGCTATGTTCACATGCTAACAAATCTACATGTGCCTTTTAACAATAGGTATAGATAGGTATACCAATATAGGTAGTAGTTAAATTTAAGCTGGTCAACGGACCTTTTTGTTAGTTTTATAGACCTCACATACAACTGAACTGCGAACAAAGCTGAAGGTTAGGACTAAATGCCAATGGCGAAACTAAAAATGAAGCTTATATTTTTTTAAGTGTCAGTTTACAAGATTCAGCTGTTGAGTACACAATTAGGGTATGAATGTTATGTCAGATATTACTGTGCCAATATTTGTGTTTGAACTTAGCATGTCAGTTGCTAAGGATTGTTCTGGTCAGTTATATTCAGTCTTATTCTCGCTCAATATATCATGTGAACTGCCCTCTGAAAGTGAGTAATCAATGCTGTTTCCTGATAGCATTAGTTTGATTCATTTGGTTACTAGTATTTGTGTTCTCAGGGATCTAATAGTAACTATTGTTCCATTTTTCTTAACCAGGAAGTCAGTTAGCATAAGCCTAATTATGAATGCATGCTTTTCATGACAACCACCTATGAACAAATAGCAAAAATAACCTCAGTATCTCTGAAAGGTTTCATATTTGAAAGAATTGCACTCCAAACAAGTATGAAAATCACAAAAGATGATGATTTTGCAGACATCATAACCATGCAATTATTATTTTGACAAATTTTTCATGAATCTTGAAATTCTATATTTTTCAGCTTGAACCAGAATTATGATTGAAGTGGTAACAGACACGTTTAACCATCTCTATGAAGGTTACCTATGGACTTTATCTATTGCAGGTATGTACTAGTATAACAAAGCGGGTTTACAAAATATGGTGAATTTGCACTGAAATTATTCAGAATTTTAGAGAAAAATATCCGTGGATAGCATCTGTCACTTTCTTTATGTTTGTTTCTTTGTTTTTGTTGCACCAGACTGGCTAGTTTGTCATAATTGTTTACCTTATACTCCTCCAAGTCCAACAAAATCTTGCTTCTTTTACAAGATAAGAGATTTTATATTTAGATAATTCTTAATTTAAGAGATACAACTGCTTTATTGCTGCCCCCCCTACCCCTCCTTAAAAGGAGAAAATGATGTTGAAAAAAATATTGACTTTGAGAACCCATTTAATAAGTCATGTCAATAACATTTTCAGATGAACGAGTTGCTGACTGGCTTCTTATGCAGTCACCTCTTCCAACTTTGGGATTAGTCGTTTTATACTTATTCTCAATATGGAGTGGTATGAAAATAATGAAAAATAGAGAACCTTTCCAGTTAAGATGGGCTATATTTTCATACAACCTAGCTTTGGTTATACTAAACTGGCACATATGCTCAGAGGTAAGTCAAATGCAGAAAACAGCATGCATAAATAATTTGGGAGAGGGGGGGGGGGTGGCTTGCATATATCTAACTTGTCTGTTCTTTTAATACGTTTTAGACTGTTTTTTATAGGATTTGTTATCATCATCATGATAAGTAAAAACAATAGTGATGAAGAAATGGTCTGATTATCTATATTTTCTTTCTTATATTTTCAGCTTTTTAGTGCCTCCTGGAAATTGAATTATAGCTACTCATGTCAAACAGTAAATTATTCATATGACCCAGATGAAATGAGGGTAAGTCGTTTGTTTTGCAGCATGAGATGAGTTTTCATCAATAAAGTGTTTGTACAGGTATGTGAAGTAATTTTGAAAACATAAGAATTTAATTGGAGGTAATTTTTGAGACACTTGGTCTTCTATCTAGATAATGAAAAGCATTAGCTTCTGAACTTAAATTCTGTACACAAAGATCTATTTATGAGAGTATATAATATTCCAGAATTTAACACAACACAAATTCTGATGTTGAAAAGTTGCAGAATGTACATTAAATGTATAATTTACATTCATTGTCATATTACTACATAACACTTTCAAATTTCTTTATTTTTCAGATAGCTAAAGCCCTTTGGTGGTATTATTTCTCAAAGTGCATTGAATTCCTAGATACCATCTTCTTTGTCCTGAGGAAGAAGAACAATCAAGTATCATTTTTGCATGTATACCATCATGCCACCATGTTTCCAATATGGTGGATCGGTGTAAAATGGGTTGCAGGAGGTCAATGTAAGTGTATGTTTTTAGCACAGAAAGAAAACAATTCGCCTCAATGTGAGAACCAGGCCGCAAGATGATCTTTGGCATTTTTTTTAGCCGAAAACCTACAAAACCCAACACTATAATACAATGGGAATCCCCTTATGATGAAGGCAAAGTAAATATTATTCTAAGACAAGTCTGATGGATTTACCTTTTAATACATATTAATACATACAACCCACAGAACATTTCCAATAAACATTCTCAAATGACACCAGAAAGCACAAAAAAAAAAAAAGAAAGAAAAATCAAATCAACCAGACAGTAAACACAGACAGGCCTTGCCAATTTCAACATTTGTTTATTACAAACAGGGCGCTTTTCATGCATGCGCAGTTATTTAAATACTGAGCTTATGTTTTAAAATTCTGGAGAACATTAAGTACGTTAAGTAATTAACAGTTATATTTTAGTTTATTACTGTTTTGTATTTTGATTTCCCACATTATATCCATATTTTATGAAGTTGCAAAGACGATCTTATGTGAATCAATAGTTGATAGATTCTCATTTTCTTTTCAGCATTCATGGGTGCAATGATCAATTCATTTATCCATGTAGTAATGTACACATATTATGGAGTTGCAGCCCTAGGTCCAGAGTACCAGAAGTACTTATGGTGGAAGAAGTATCTCACCAAACTACAGCTGGTAAGGGAGGTCTGATGGAAATTGTTTCATTCGATCTTTAAATGTTTTATTTAATTGGGTATATTAAGCAGTCATTCTAGAATGTTTCTGTTATTATTATTATTATTATTTTGTAAAGTCCATATTTTTATATAACACTATACTTAAGCATGTCTTTGTTACATATAATTTTCATGAATGTTTTTCAGTATGCTACAGGATCTAATATATATATATATATATATCTCTTTCATATTAATATGTTTGTTGATATGAAGAGTAACTTGTGGTTTACCATTATGTTTCTTACTAACATCTTTAACTATATTTTATGCCAAACAGCTTGTAGCATTAAGGAATTCTTCAATAACACAACTGCACTTTGCACAATGCTTGTCTAAGTCGCTTAGGGGTATTAATATAGAGAGAGTTCAGGAAGAGTGAAGGTTGCATGCTTGTTTCTGTTTTCTGCAGATCCAATTTTTTGGTGGGATGGTTTATGCAGTACAAACACTTTATGTTCAGTGCACATACCCTCTCTGGATGACCTACACTTCAATGGGATATGGGGCCACTATAATTGCACTCTTCCTCAACTTCTACATACAAGAATATGTTCATAAAAAGAACATCAAGGTAATTTTAGGTGTAGAAGCTTACTTATTTTTAAATCAATTTGTTTCTTCTGTGTGTAGATACAGTTTGTGGTCGGCATGGCCCATGCAGCACAGTCACTGCTCCTACAGTGCCCATTCCCCTTGTGGATGCAGGTGGCATTGATTCTCTATGGAGGCTCAATTTTGGGCCTTTTCCTCAACTTCTATTTCCATGCCTATATCAAATCCAAACGAGATAAGCAGGTAGATATGATGTATTTCAAGACAGAATTAAACACGTGTTTGTATCTATAAGAATACATTGTCATTTGTGAAGGGCATTTCATGATCAGTTGACCAATTATTACTGAAAATTCTGACATTTGTGAAATTTTTATTGTTATTTTTTCAAAATGTACAATTGTTATATGTTTAACATGTGCAGAATTTACAAAATTATACCCTTTATATATGTGTGTATATATGTGATAAAAATTTTTGAAAAGGGACAATTTTTTCCAATGTAGAAAGTAGCAATGTATATCTGGTCATATTGACCCTTACTTGATCCCTGATTTAATAAACTTTTCATGCAAATCAGTTGTACTATCTTAAAAAGCATAGCTTTATACTATATCTTATAAGAATTATTACTTTTTCCAGTATAAAACCCTGCATACAAATGGAAAGGGAGACACTAATGAAGGACATATAAATCAAAATGGTCACAGTACAAATGGACACGTGAAGAATGGATATATCAAGAATGGACATATGGCATCAAAAAAAGAACAGTAGAATGTCACTTTTGTGAAGTATTCTTTATGTTCTAGCTGACTGTAGGCTGCAGTATTGTATACCCATAAAGATTTTTTTCATAGTGAATGCAAGTTCTAAAGTTCAGGAACTCTTGCATGTTATTTTAAGCAGTGATATCTGTGCACAACTCAGTCAAGTACATGATCAACTTTATGTGAACAATTGCAGCCTCTACATTATGAAATATTTGTTGTTAATTGATATAAAACTAGTTTTATTTTTTTTGTAAGCAATAATTATTTTTAAATATTAGTGGATAGCATGATTTCTTTTTTATGTGAATGGAAAATCCTGTTTTTAAAACTTCTTGCGGTATGTTTCATCTTCCTGTTCATGACTTTGCTTTTGAGATGAGTAGGTGAAATAAAGGGCCCAGTGTGTCAGTGTATGAAGTCTTCAAATAACATACATGTCTTCATGTATGTAAGCAACTTTGTCAATTCTGTGAACAGATTATCTAGTCTATTGAACAATTATCTTGTATGATATTTTTTATGATGTTAAATGCAAGCAAACAAAATCTTTGGCAGTTACCTTTGTCTCAGTGCAATTCATGATTAAAACAGAGATGCACTCAGAGAGGCCAGACCTCCATCAAGGTAGCTCAGTTCTCATTATTTACTAATTTTAATTAATCAATTAAAATTAAATAATGGATCAATGGAATCAAAGCAGTTGTAAGTTTGGTACTCTCTGACTTTTCTGGAAATTTTAATTAAAATCTGCCCGTATCCTTTTGAGTTAACTTACCAACAAAGGCAAAAATATAACCTCCTTGACAGAGGTAACAATGGTAGTTAAAACTTTTGTTGTTTGCAATTGTCAATAAATTTTGTCATACAATTGTTCATACCAAGTGCATTATGTCAGCATTTTTTTGTTATCAATTTATTTAGAAACTTACAATGTTAAATATGGCCAAGGATATCATGCCAAGAATGCACAACCTATTTGTATTGCATTGTTAAAAAGTTCTTAGATGTACATTCCAGTTTTGTAACATGAGCATTTTCTTGTATTGATATAATACATGTATTTTTTTGTCATATTTAATAAATATTAAGAAATGAATTAGACCATATTATTTCTCATGAGTTTTTATGAAATGTTATAGATATTTAATATGTACAAGACTACGACTGTAAAAGGACACCTACACTGGGCAAATTATTAGGCAATTTAGGCAAATTAATAGTCATTTAATGCAGTCCAAGCACCGTTCACTTGCATGACGTAACATTTCAACTTTTTACCAACTATGCAATTTGAATGGGGTGGACTTCACATTGATGCAGTGCTATAGATATAATTCACAAGACCTCCCAAAAATCATCCCATATATTTTTGATGATAACTTGATATTACAGTCAAAATATTTGCTCAATCTGTTTTTTTTTTTTTTTTTCTGCTCAAATCAAACCTTACACATTCAGTTAATAACATCTGAAAATTTAATTGGAGGTTACTTTCATAACGGACCAAGATGGTGCATATGAATAACAAGTTTATTCTAACAGCTATTCATTTCATATCATTTTATCAAGTAGCAAAATAATCTAGGAAAATCAGCGACCAGTCTTGCAGATTATGTGCAAATAGGTGAATAAAAGATCGCGGTCATTATTTTTGAAACTCGATACAATTTTGGATTCTATTTATTTATTTATCGAGGGATATAATTATTACTTTTAATATAAATACTGGGCAAGCTGTAGACAGGTTTAAGAAATAGTATGGCTATTATAAATCTTCTGTCTCTGTTCAGGCTGTTTGACACGTCACTTGGTCCAATGGAAAAAAGTGGAACAATAAATACTTGAAACATCGAGTTGCAAACAACTAAAATATATAGCGTTTGATTGATTGATTGATGCTTCTTCAATAATGTTTCTTAATCATTATAATTTAAACTGCCTTTGTTTTCAAATTTTGCAGGAAAATTGAAATGGAGAAAGGGGCATTTACTTGTACCAAATATAGGCTAACACCGTCCAGTCAGGTTATATTTCCTACTTCAGCGCTAGCGCTTTTATTTTGTCAAGAATGCTTCTCAGTGAATACTACTAACTTTCGTATTTTTTTCAAGTTAAACGGCTTTTTAAATTTGGAAATTAAAACACGTATAACTAGTTTTATTATGTGTTGACAATAAAATCCACTCAGCAACACGCTGATAAGCATCATTTTATGGAAACGAATGCACGTAGTTGTAAACAGCAATAACCTATCAATCCAATATACTACGCCAATATGACATTTGTCACTGAAGAGATTTCTGATTTTGGCCTTAATGTGTGCAGTATGTGTGATCGCGTGCCAAACTTCTGCAGTTGTGCAGCAGCATTTGAAAAAGAATCCTACTAACCATATGATTTGTAACATTTTAAAAATTACAAGCAACAAAGTATATCCCCATGGCATGAGGTCGTCGGGCCGATTGCACATTTCTGCAAGATAAAAGCTTTATCATGGGCCTAATCACCTTGTTGATAAAAAGAAAAAATAAATAAATGAATAAAGATAAAATTTCATCTATAAAGAAAAACTTTTATACGAAGTTTAAGTTGATCTTTATAGATGTATTTTTTGCTTTATTTATTTATTAGCAAGTAAAAGCGACGCGTCGCCCTCAGGCCAACGCGCAGAACAGATCTCGACGAGTCTTACGAGCGGTCGAGATAATCTCCGTAATTAGTTTTTTTTTTTACAAAATTGTATGTCTGCTCGAGAATATGGACAAATTAAGCCATTAAGCTGGAAAAGCAACCAAAATTCAACGTTCCTACATGTAGTTACACTATAAATCAAACTTAAATCGTTTTAGTAACCAGTGATGGAAATTCAACAAAGAATGTTCGGCAATTGAGAATCGGAATGGCAAAGGCCAAAACAAATGAACTGGTTAATATCTGGAAGGATAGAAGTATCCCAACGGCGTTAAAGGTGAAACTTGGACACAATAACGTTATAATGTCCAATGGTGAAAATAGGGAAGAGCTTGATATGGGTGCGAAGGATGTACGGGTGCGAAGGATGGGTAATCAAAAAAGAGCAGGAAAAACGAATAGATGCAGATGAAATGTGAATTTATCGAAGAATATGTTACGCATCTCGTGGTGGGAAAGAAGAACGAACGACAGTATTCTTGAGGATCTCGGACTGAAAGACCAACATACAAAAATGGACAAGAAAAAGTTTAATAGAGGTCACGAGCACGGCAGTTGACAGAAAGCAGTTGAGGGGCTTGACCCATGGACTGTGCCGACAATTTTCGAAATACGGAGGATCAGGCTGATGATGATGAATATTGGTGTTGGCTATCTAATTTATGTATAACATGCATTCTTTCTCATCAGCCCGTTTGTAGACAAGTCATGAGGTCCAAGTAGTTGCGCCTCGTAATTTCAGAAAAAAAATTCTTTTTTAGAAATCTATAGGCCTACCCTCCCAGCTCATGAGGGGTTCTCCACAACTATCCCTTTTGTGCGTTCTTTCCCAACTTGTACAATGTAGTCGACATAAAAGCGTAAAATGTAGCCTATATAGGGCCTACATGTACATGTAGGCCTACTATAGGCCATACGGAATCTTTGCGCCAAATTGTAGGGCCTCCCATTTCTCGACTCGTGCTCGTGAATTCATCGTTTTGCGCCATTTCCAATTGAATAATTTTAACAACTTAAAGTTAATGAATAATGGTTCGTTTCAGTCATTTGGACCGCCCATGTCTCCCTGATGTTTTCTTCTCATACCTGAACATGCATTAAAATTCGGAACATTGACCCTACTTTTACCAAGGAGTTAGGCCTACAACAGTTGTAACTTCTTGCTTTTACACAGCTTTTACTTGAGAAGTTTTTCTCGTTCTCAAGGTCAGAATTGGAAAAGGTAATTCGGTACGTAGACAGAGAAATATGACTTTGGGTCATGTACAAATGCGTTAAGACATAATGTGACTAATATACCTAAACCAGGGAATTATAGCGTAGACGATATATTTCTGCAGATAAGTAGGGCATGGCCTACAGTACACCGAATCGCCAGTAAATGTAACGCATGCGCAATTTGTTTTCTTCCTGTGCCCTGTTATTCCCTGTCTGTGCTGTTCGAAGAAGACAAATTTCGTCTTGGGTAGGTGGCTTTTGTACAAGGCAAATAATTCGTACTTTGCGTTTTAAGAAGACACTGAGAACTCACTTCTGTACTTAATCAGGATGCCTCTGCCGTTACCGGTGGGTAGCTAGAGGATGCTAATTGTAGAGAGGTGAATAATGTTCAGCTAATATTTCTGTGCAAGTGTAGAAATTTATTATTAAATATGACTTACTTGAATGTACAACTATGCGTGGTTAAATGTTTACTTTACCATTTCAGAAGAGGAGGACATGTAAATTATTCAAAACAATCCACAAAGTTAATGTACACATTTAAAATGGATCCGAGAAGTGGAAACAGAAGGCATTGGAGTGACACAAAAGAGAAATCACATTTTTGGTCTAATTGCACATGCTTGTTCAGTATAATACTGTTGGTGATATTTTCTCTATTCCTGCTGGTAATGATCGTATTCGGACGGAATTTTATGACGCCAGAGCTGTATTTGATGGATCTGATAATTGAAAACAGAACACATACTGCACACTAGTACATTTATACTTTCCTGTTTGCATTGGATATGATATGTGGTTCTGACGAGGTTATGATTATATGCTGAAATTCAAATGCTGTCCTTACATACATGTGTTCTTAATCTGCAAAGCATAGAAGAAGACAAACATTTTACCTTTTGAAACCTGTTATATCAGATGAGAACTATATTTATTATATAAACAGTTTCAAGAACCATATCATATCATATCAGATAAATCCTATGTTATCTAATGGAATATTGCATTGTTAATCAGGGCTTTCTCTGCAAATAGATGCTTTTCCTCCCAAGATCAGTGAGAAGGTCAGTTGACACCAAGAACATGGAAAAAATAGAAGTTGAACTTGCACAAAAAAGTACTAGTGTGATTAACATTCAGCCTTCAGGAAAATATTTCATGTATGGACTTTTGATAAAGGTCTTTGGATGGAATAGTTAACGGCCAGTTTGTTTGACTCATTCGTGTTTGATTAAAATTGTGATGCAGAAGCATGAAGGGAAACATTCCTTTATAGATGTATACAATTGCAGTATGCATATATAGAATAGCAGGATATATCATTAAATCCCCTCTCCATTTCTTATTTAAGGGGTACAAAATGTTTAAACGCACACAATGATCCTGTCATCAACAAGGATGTCAATTAAAATAACAATATTTGTCTTTTTAATGGGTTTTGTTTACAAGTTCCAATAACAATTGTAATCATCTGTTTAGTTGTTCAAAAACAAATGCAGCTTATCTAGAAAATAGATAGCAGAAAATGTAATTTATGCAAAATTGTTAATATGTTTCTCAACTAAATCTATTTGAGTAGTAGAAACTGGATTTAGAGAAGATTTGATTCGTTTCTGTTTCAAAACCTGCTTGTATACATGCATATATTTGCTGTTGCTTAGGGTGATTGGTATCTATATTTACATATTAGTAGTGTACAAGGTGTTTCTGAAGAGTTTCTTACCTGTGATGCTGAGGCAAATGCCTCCCATCTGAATTCCATCCCAAGAGTAACTTCCTCTAGATATCTTCCAGTACATTGTATAGTATCTCAATGATATACAAAGAGATGTATGGAGATCCAGGCTTACCACGTAGGCAATGTGAAAGGGAAGTGATAGTACATAACCCAACAGCTTTCAGACCTTCAAATTATCAGACAACCAAGAAGAATTGGTTGGGAGGTGTACATGGTAACTTAGTTGCTCAGAAAGTATTTTAATAAATTGGAAATGAACATTTTTGGACATCAATAAGCTTTCAAATAAGACTTTCTTTTTTGTAAAGTAATCTGTTATTAAATAGTTATCAACTGTAGTATTGTTTATTTTGATGTTGCTTTTTAAATGAGCTTGGCCCATATAATACTGCCACATAAAGGCACAGTTACTGTTAAACACTATACAGGAAATCATTTATAGGCTTTCATTCTGTGCCTTGCTTGATTACCTTGAGTGACTGAAAGGTCAAATGTGGACCAAGGACATCTCAGGACCTTAACATTCCAGTAAGACTGTTCTTGGCGGAGTTTTATTTTATTAATTTATCAAGCACTTTTTTTCAAGTGGAGGTCTGCACTGTCAGAATGCCATCTGGTTATTTTATATTTTCAAATTTTTATAAATAAAAATATTTACCTGTTGGTTCCGTTTTCTGCTCATCTGCTCATTTCTTTACACCAAAATCTATGAAGGTTGTGTTCTTAGTAGGTGTGTTAATTTAAGATAAAAAATAAAAGTTTGCATCTTGTGTTTACGCAGTGTGAGATACACTGGTCTTTGTTGAAACATGCATAATTAAGAAATTGACTTAATTAATAACTATGCTATTAAATAAGAGGGTCACTTTAGTGAACCCCCAGGTGACCAAATTAATTTTAATTGGTCCAAACAGTAAAGTGACCTTGTGAGAGGGAGCAACAGCCCAAACAGTAATCACATGTTGGGACCAGTCTAGAATGCATAGAATACAAAGCAGCGTATAATATATATTGTGAAAAAGCCTTAACAATAAAAGGCTTAACAATAAGTTGCTTTGCAGTTGATATTTGCACAAACTACCTTCCAAAATGTGTTCCCTTACATACTGTATTCTCCATCCGTTGACTTATCCATTATTCTGTCCAATTTGTCTAAGAGCCCATTCAGAACAAATGATGCTCAGATCTACTGATCCCAAATCAAATATGGCACACCCTACATGAAATCAAGACTACTAAATCCCGTAATGGTATCTCTGCCTCTACATGCTCCATTTAATGGATAAAAGCTAATCTCCATGGTTGAATTGCAAGGCCCCTGGGGGGGGGGGGGGGGGGGG